ATGTGATCTCAATAATTCTGGCCAAAATTATTTATGTAATTTAAATATTTCACGTGATATTAATTTGTAAAAAAAAATTTAATAAAATCAAAATCAAATCAAAAAAAAAAAACTTGTGCATCCAACTCAAAAAAGAAATTGAACAGTTTGTCAAAGCTCCAGGTCATTTTGAAATTACCTCTGAATGACCTGGTCATTTGAGGTCATTTGTCACTCTTTAACTTTCACTTCAATCTGACTTATTTGAAAGTAAACGTAACAAACGTAACATAACATTTACTTTTATTTTTTCCATTATATTATTGTTGCAAAGTTCTAATAGCGGGTTAATGATTAATTAACAACTGATTGACTACCATTTTCACAACGTGACCATGATTTTTTTGCTAATTTTAATATCTAAATCAAACAAAACAATCAGAGAAATTATCTTTTTATAAACAATAAAATAATACTCTCTTACAGAACTGTCATATCACTAAAATCATATCATTCTGTTTTAACCTAAGAGATATGAAAGACAAAGAAAATAAGAAATATCAAAAAATGATTTAATCAAATCATTAGTTAGATCAATACTAACTATAAAAAAAAACAAAAAAAAAAAAAATTTGACATACCTAAATAATGGTTAAAGTAATAAAAGAAATATAATAAACACCTATGAATTTCAATTATTTGTAATGAAGGGCCTTGACAATTTTCAGCGTGATTACTAAGCGTTCTTATATCAATAGGAATAGGCTTATCATAATGCTCCAAAATTCGATAAAATTCAACCAAACTTAAAATGCTTTAAAAAATTTCAGTAGGGATATTTTGTGCTCCAATTGCAGACATTAAAGAAATTAGAGAAGTTCATTAATCGAAAACCAATGAAAAATAAAATAACAATCATTAAATTAAAACTACCTTATATCGATAATATAATTCAGGCCAACAAGATATAAATCCTGCATTAAATAATTTCTTGCGAGCTGATGGTATACACCAGCCAAAAACTAGCACATGCACAAGAGCATGAGACCTGTTAAAAATTAATATAAATGAACATATTCAGAATGTTGTATTGCTAATGAATAAGGAATGTTTACCTTTCTTTGCTTACAGGTAATGGTTCTCCTTTAAGAAGTTCAAACAAGCATCTCGTAATCAGAGTGCTGAATACGTTGATTTCGAAAACTTTTAAAGAATGATGACAAATTTTACAAAAAGCTGATATTACTTTATCTATCATTGAATGAATCTGATTCTAGTTGAATGAAAAGAGTGTCCATGGTATCAATCTTCAAATCCATATATAGCATTACCAATTTACGTGCCAATGGGTGAATTATCTAGGTGTATGATCCGAAAATTCACATTTTATCAATATTTTGAATTGCTGGTACATTTCATTCTCAAAAAGCGAGATGCATATATACCTCAATCTTGGTGTGCCAAACACTACAAGTGCATGTATGTATTTGTAACATTATAGGCAATAATACTCAATGGATATAGCGATTTGTTTGACCGGATCATCATTGTAATCTGAATTGTAGAACTTTAATTCCAAAACGGCAAAAAGATCAGAAAGATATTCCCGTAATGCTAGCTGTTTATCAATAGAAACTAGGATACCAAATTGTTGGAAGTACATTTCAAGTATGCATGACTCATAAGAATCTATATCGAAAAGAAATTGCGCAAATTTGGTTAACTATAAAGTTAACATAATTAATGAAGAAAATTATGAAGATGAATACGTACCTGTGATAAGAAAGGTACGCATTTCAAGCTTTACGCCTTGAGAAAAAACATGACAGCCCTGACAAAACATTTAAAGTAGAATCTCGAAGAATTTTCATTAACGCATTAATAACGACAGTTAGGTAATAATCCTCTGAAGAAGGTCCTAAACCGTCATTAAGTATATTTATTTGTAGCTTTAGGATCAAATAAAGAATCTTCGGATGAGCCGGTTGTTATTAAATAATAATGAAGGTTTTTTATTAATGTAAAATTATTTTACTTAATGAAGTTAAGGTTCTAATGCACCGAGAATTCCCCTATTAATTTACAGTTTCGCGTCGACTGCTCAGTCTTTAAATATTCATCAGAATAGAAAGCATTTCTGATATGGCTCAATTACAAAGCAACTATTGCTTGTAAGTTGTCCCAAGGTTTTAAGTTCAGTGTCTCGTTTTAAAGTTGAGATTTGGCCTTGAAGGGCATCAATGATCAAAGGCATCGACTATCCAAGTATAGTTTTAATTCACCAAGTGCATCTAATACACTTGATGCTACAGCGGACCTGGATCACAAGATTAGTGGTTGGAACCGGTTTGGTGTAATTTAAATTCGGTTTAAACCGGTTGCAACTTAAAACCGACCGGGTCTCGTTTTTTTCAGATTTGAAAATCGGGTTTAATAAAACTGGTTGATTGCTATTTCTTCTCTTAGATCTTACTATTTAACGTCTTCTTAGTCTTTCCGTAATGTATACTCGACTTTTTTTTTTATTGGCATCGTTGAGGAAGGTTGAAATGAAATTTAAAAATGTAAAGGATTCACAATATTTGTAAAAAAAAAAAAAAATTTTTTTAAATAATAAATTAAGAATAAAGTTTTTTAAAATAAATTTTCAATTTAGTCACCCCCATACTTGAAGAAAATACCTTTGTTAACGAGAATGATGAAATTTATATAATTGACTTTGTAAAGTATGATGAATGAGCGTGAAAGAGTCGGCGGGTACCTATCACAAAGTTTTCAAGATCTGCACATTATCCAGCGTGTTTGTCGACTATAAATTTTGTATTTACTCAGATTTGTTAGAAAAAAATATGTGAAGAAAAAGAAGAGTAAGAGAAACAAATTGCTTATTAATAAAGATAATAAAAAACAAATTACAGTATCTGTATGTTTAAAATTTATAAACGTTAAACGATAAATTTTTTGTAATATAATGCCGTTAAATAGAAGTTAATCTTCACGTGATATTATATAGCACCGTTGTGGTACAATGACTGCTATAAATTAGATCATCGGTTGATCTAATTTAATTCCTTTCTGTTTTTTTTAAAAAAAAAAAATGACTGTCCGTATCGGTTGTTATAGGTTAGTTAATACGCAAATTTATATCTGTAATGTATAAAATTTTCCTCATTATAATTCAATAGAATAATTAAATACAGTGCATTTTGGGGATTCTGCTTCCGCAGCATCACAATTGGTAAAAAAGAGAGAAAAAATTTAGATTACTTGATTGCGGATTATTTGTCTGGTAAAATATTGTTATTTATTGTTCCTCTTTTCGAAATACATCTTTGAAATCACTCACTTTTAGTCTCTTAAATCGTAATCGTAGAGGTAACGATGGGAATTTTAGCACGTCGTAGAAATCATAAATCATCCACAGAAAAATCTAAATTAAGAGGGGCTGGAGAAGGAGGGTATATTGCGGAATTTATTACTCTTGTTCTTAAACATCTTTTACCTGATTTAGTTAAAAATAACATTAAAGTTATTACAAACGCAGGAGGATTAGATCATTTAGCATGTAAACAAGCGATAGAAAATACCATTAAAGAAAGTGGAATAGAAGATGGTAAATTAATTGTAGCTGCAATAACAGGAGATGATATATTAAATTATAATGAAGAATTTAAACAAAAAGGAGAGGTATATGAATTTACACATATAATTGGGAATGATCAAGATTTGGACGATTTTCCAAGTGAAAAAAAAGAATTTATTGCACTTAATGCATACCTTGGAGCTATACCCATAGCAATGGCACTTGATTCCGGTGCGAATATTGTGATTACGGGTAGATGTGTGGATAGTGCTTTAGTTCTTGGACCATTAATACATGTATTTAAGTGGGATCCACATAAAGATTGGGATAAACTTGCATCAGGATCATTAGCTGGTCATATTATTGAATGTGGTT